ATCTCTGGGACCATAAAAACAAAGCTCTTACTACCACCCAAAACAACAGTATGTCCCAAGCAAGCCACTGAAAGTGTTTCTCTGTACTTCTACAAACATCACCAGTAAAACATGTTTACTCACTTGTAGCAGTTATTAAAAGTTAAGGAGTATACAAATGGAGAGCTCTATATGTTAAGACACCATTGTATACCAAGGTTACTGCACATGAGATGCAGCTGAGATCCCAAAGGGACTCATGCCACTAATTACTGACTGAAGTCACTCTGAAATTCTCACTGTTGTGTAATAAAGAGCCTTAGTTTCTTCTTTTGTTCTTCTGCCCCTGCTGGAGAGGCCAAGGAATGATAAAGGCTAAGACCAAAATCAGGAAGGAGTACCAGGCCTGGAAGACCAACTCTGCCTGCATCATCTTTGACTAAATCTACGTTTTAATCACTTACTTTCATTTTTCAAAAAATCTGAAATTTATCTGAAAACTGCTGGATTTCATACACGTTCATTTTCTGTTACAATACAATCACATTTAAAAAGTGAAAAAAAAGCCATTGTTTCAAAACATTTGCTTACTTTCTCCTCATGGGACAGTCCTTCATAAAGTGTCCAATTTTCCCACAAATTCGACAACATCTATCATTTGGGGCCAGCTCTCCTTCAGTGAGTACATCTGGATCAAAAAAGTATTCCTAGAAGGTAAACACATCATAGCCTGATATTAATGGGTGATTTAAAAGAGGAAAAGTACACATGAAGACAGTGATCCTTCATCTCATTTTCAACCTTTTTTGGTGGTGGAACTGGGGATTGAACTCAAGGCCTTTGCACTGAGCTATATCCCACTCTCCACCTTTTTTTATTTTTTGAGACAGGGTTTCACTAAGTCATTACGTTGCCCAGGCTGGGCTTCAACATCTGATCCTCCTGCTTCAGTCTACCAGGAACATTATCAATATTTTAAATAAATATTGTTTACAATAGACCCCTGAAATTCATAGCTGTTATGTTCCTAGAGCACCTGGAAACTGAAAAACCCTGAATTTCAAATATGGTCAGAAAAATGGCTGCGAATGCCTATTTTTATAGATTAAACCCTAAATGTGCTTTGTCTCTCAAAGTTGTGTAGTTTAATAAATTGCTATATTAATAAGGCCTTAGAAGGTGCAGGATGTTTTGGTGGATTCTTACAGATTTTAGGGCTTTAAGGAGAACAAAATTGATTAACACTCCAGATAGCTATGTGCAGTACAGCAATCTGTTGTGATGTGGGGATACTGGTGCATCTGCAGAGGTGGGTTACAGGGCAATCAGCAGCAAGTAGAACTGAAAAATGCTCTCAGATAGGCTACTTACAAAGTTTCCAAAAAGCAACTACAAAGGACATTTATGATGGTTTCTGTGAAATTGTGGGAATTTCCTGAACAATTATTAGTTAGCTTGTAAAGAGAAATTCTCAGGTGAATGGGGTTGCAAACACTGAACCCTGACTTCATATGTGTGTGTGTGTGTGTGTGTGTGTGTGTGTGTGTGTGTGTATGTGCATGCATATAGTTATGCTGTGTACTCAGTTACAGAGAACAGACAGCTCTCCAGGGCAGGTAGCAATGAATCTTCCAGTTCCATTAAATACAAGCAGCTTGCAAAGCTGGGCTTCTAGCAGGTGAGGTGTCCTGACAGGGACATGCTGTGTCTCTTTGGGGGCTGGTACAACAGTAGTGCTACCTATGTAGGCCAGCACAGACCACCAGGGCATCAAAGAGAAGGAAAAAATAATGTAATACACTTAAATTTATCTTTTCAGGTATTAAAGATGTGGGTATTTTTTTTTTTTTTTTTCCATTTTTGAAGTTGCTCTAGGGCTGCTTTGTTTTTCCTTGGTACGTGCTATCAAGGAAAAGAAGTTAAAGCAACATTATTAATTCCCTCACCCAAACTCCACTTCTTATTTCTCTTTGTTACTTTCTTCTAAACAGAAAGGTCTTCAGGAATTACTTTATATTATAATCACGTATTCTGGCCAGATTCACCAGAATACCAGAGTATTTATTGCTGAAATACATATACCAGCTAGGTGCTTAAAAATGTGTCCAAATTATGTGCTTTCAAAATTGTTTTTTGACACTTCCATCAGACACTTACCATTTTTGAGGGGCAATCCTTTGGAAATCCTTTGACTGGAATGCCAAATACTCTTCTACCATTGATAAAGGCTTTCATTATAAAATTTGTCACTAAGAAGAAAAGATGAAGATCTTACATAAAATGGAATAAAAGGAAACTGCATTAAAATTTACCAACAGGGGCCAGGGAGATGGCTCAGTATAATAAGCGCTTCCCTGGCAAGTGCAAGGGCCTGAGTTCAATCCCTGGTTCCGAAAAAACAAACAAACAAACAAAGAAACAAAAAAAACCAAACAAACCAAAAACCAAAAAAAAGAAAAAACCCAAAACAACAAAAAAAACCCAACCCAACAAAATAACTTACTTTTTCTTGATAATCCAGCTCCAAGATTATGATTCAAATCAAAGGGATCTAAGAAAATTAAAGAGAGTAACAAGAGAATCAAATAGGAAATGTTACTATTCATCTAATAAGTGAGTTCCATAACAAGAAAACATAATTTACTTTGTTTATAATTAGTGAAAGTATTAAATGACTGCCTTTATTTTATTTATTTATTGTAGTACCAAGGACCAAACTCAGGACCTTGCACTTGCCAGGAAGGTGCTTAAGCCACTGAGTTATCTCTCTGGCCCTAAATGACTGCCTTTTTAAAAATAATGTATTTAGGCTGGGGAGATAGCTCAGTGGAATAAGCTCTTCCCTAGCAAGTGCAAGGGCCTGAGTTCAATCCCCGGTTCTGGAAAAAAAAAAAAAAAAAAAATGTATTTAGTACAGGGTCTACAGGATCTCGCTACACGGATCAGACTTGTAGTGATTCTCCTGCTTTCAGCCTCCCAAGTGCTAGGATTACAGGCACGCACCACCACACCCAGTCTCAGTCAAGACTCAGAGTGCCCCAGGGGCAGGGCTGGGACAGCACTTGGGAATTAAACCGTGGTCACTGAGCTCTGCCTAAGCAGGCACTTTAGTCTACTGAGCTATCTGGCCAGCCCATGACTGCCTTTTAAAAGAGCATAAAATTCATAATACAGGCAAGTAATACAGTCCTAAATATAGTGTAAGACCTCTTATGTCCTGTTAAGAATTATCCTTAGACACCAAGAAGCCAATGAAATGGCAGGAGGTCAGGAAGTCATATTGTCCTTGACTTGTCCTTGGTGGAGTGTAAGATTATGGTGGGACAATATAAACAGGTAGCTTAGGCCTAAGGATTAAAGGGCCCCACTATCTTGATGCTGTCTCATTTCAAGAAGGACTGTGTATGGGAAGAGGGAACAGCTGTCTTCCCATACACAGTCCCTCCCCACCAACAGTGAAAGATCTGGAAGAACAAAGATTTTCAGACTCGTAAGAGGGCCCACAAGAGGGCATCAGTCTTAGGTGGTAAACGGACAATTCAGGCTGGCATGAACAACAGCAACTCATAACTGCCCCATAGCAACTATGTTAGAAGAAAGAATAATACTTCTATAATTTAAATCTCTTACTGGAGATTTTATTGGTACCTTCAATAACAATGTATTTTGAGGTCCACTGTTTCTTAAAAGTTGTAAGTAGACTTTTTCTCCTGATGCTAATAACATGTTCTTTAAAATCAAATTCCTCAGTGTAGAAACGAAGAAGTCCCAGCCATAGCTGTCCAACAGATTCTGTATTTTTCCCATATTCTGGCCAACAGGTAGGCTAGAAACAGAAGGGAACAAGGACATCACACTTTAAAGTATTAATACTGATATTCCTTTCTATCTTAGGGAATCAACTTGGACTTATTTCTAATCACCTAGAGTTTAAATACATAAAAATATAATTGTATGGCTTTTCTTTCACATTTAAGTCACCACAGATATGTTTATTAATCTCTACTGCATGATTTGGACACTGGAAGAGTTCAGAGCTTAAAGACGGATTTCAGAACGTTAGTTGGAAAATTTGGAAATAGGTTCTAAAAGCCTTTATATTTGGACTACTGGGTCTGTAACTCAACCCAAGGCTTTCCAAATTCTTGGAACCAAAACCAGAGTATATATTTGGTTTTTTTTTGGAATAGTTACCTTACCACTGGAATTACTAGTTGTGAAGGAAATACTGGAGTAGTGCCTAGAAACTCACCTGGCCTTTTACTATTATAATACAAATAAATAGAAAAAGTATAATAGTATTGATCATCTACACTGAAGCATAATATAGCTAACTTAGGTATGTAGAAAATCTTTACTCTTAAAATACGTACCAGTTCATCTATTTGATCAAAAAAATAAATATTCCAGCCATCAACAAATATTTCAGGTTTCTTTTCACCTTTGTACATCTGCAATTAATTTTTAAACTATTAGTAAGGATTACAAACTTAAGCATTGATACAAAAACTAGGAAAATAATTAAAAGTTTAACTACAGAACCACAGAAATTTAAAGGAAGAAAGAGGGTTCAGAGAATAACCAGCTTTACAGAGGAGAAACAATTTCTTCCATGAATACCTCTTGGAGGACAGGAATGACTGGTGGACTCCTCTGCTGGAGGAAATACAGCACCATGAGTGTGTACGCGTATGAGGATAAGCTGCCTCTAGATGCGTCACCAATATCACACATCTAGAGGAGAGAGAGCAAAGGAAAGATCACCAGTGTTTCCTGCTGAATCTGCAACCATGTTATTACCATTACAAGTAAGGGCTTATTTGAAGAAATACAAAAAAGAAAGTCACATTTTCAAAGGTTAAAATGTGCCAATAAAACCAACTAACAAAAACTGAATACACAAAGGAGTGGGCTGTTAGTCATAAGTAAGATCAGATTATCATGTAACATTAAGACAACAACATTTTAGCTTGCAAGTAAGACTTCTCAAACACATGAAGCGTATTGATTTCCCATCAAAAAATGCAGGTTTTCAATAGGTCTGAGGATATAATGGAATATCCTGATAAATCACAAGCACACTCACCTTTGTAAATACTTTCATTGTGTAACATAAATATTTCACTCTGAGGTCAATGGCTGAATAAGCAGATAAAAGTCTTGTGTTATGAAGGGCCTACAAAAAAGAGAAATTACACTGTAAGGCCATCAGATAAAAAGCACTTAAACAGGGATATTCTTGAAAGGTCTACACTGACATAAGAAGATACTACGACTAACTTCTCATTCCAAAAGGCAAGCTTCAATAATTTTCCAGACAGTGAAGAATGATTTCTATTACCTTAGGATGTTCTTAGTCTGAAATCTAGAAAATAAGGGCTTCTAAAATAAACAATCAGTACTCATTACGCAGATCCTTTTTTTCCCCCTTCAAGGTATTATTTTTAACCAAATGTCCCTGGGAATCAGGGAAGTCCCACAAAGCCGTCAAGCAAACTGGGTGCCCGTCAGCCCAAAAGAGACGGAAACACTGGGAATGTACTTGGAAATGTGTGTCCAAAGAGATGCCCTACCCCTAAATTACAACAAACTCCAATGCAAGCACAAGCTTGCCACTCTAACTTTGCTTAAATAGGAATTATAACTGAATCCCAATATGGTTTTAGTCTTGAACACTGCTAGGACACAGGAAACTTTTTTTTTTTTTTGAAATAATACTTAGGATCAAACCTATGGTCTTTACATCGAGTTACATTTCCAGCTTTATTTATTTGTTTATTTATCTAAAATTCTGAGCTTAACCTCATTATCTGTCTGAATATCAGACATCTTAGACATAACATGGAACAGGTATTTTCCATCGAGTATTGATATGTTAAACTTTAAATCCCTACAGAATGTGAAGAAAAAAAACCCTATTTATTTATTTATTTATTTACTTATTTATTTTTGCGGAACTGGGGATTGAACTCAGGCTCTTGTGCTTGCCAGGCCCCCAAAAAAATATTTAAAAAAAATAGTAACTACTACATATTTTTACACAGAAATTTAGAAATCTAACCATATAGTCCACTACTATCATGGACTACTGGACTATAGTGGATTATTTTGCTGAATTCATGCACCTACAATATTTAAATGGAAATGGAATACCCATCTCTGACCAAACTAAACAAAAAATGGGGATACAAAAGAAGGACCATTTTGTATCTGTATATACAGCTACTTTCTCTTAATTCAATGAGAAGAAAGATTTGCACTAATCGTGTTTGGACAGGCTATCATGTCTGCATCTTGTACTATGAATAACCACTATGAAGACAACAATATGCAATGTATTAATTATTGTAACTGTCCTATTGACCTGTTTTGAAACTGTCTCATTGCTATTTGTTTCTCAATAAAATTAAAAAAAAAATATAAGATTCTGAGACAGGGTTTTATTAATTTGTTAAATTACCCAGACTGGGCTGGAACTTGCAGTGCTCCTGCCTCAGCTTCCCAGAGGACTGGGATTCCTGATTTGTGTCACCATGCTCTGTTCTTAACTCTTCAAAGAACGAACAAGATGAAGTGAATGGCTCATCTACCTTGAAAGTTCTTAAGGCACATTCATTTCTTGTAATATGCTTAAAGAAAAAGCCTGTTGAACAACTTACCAATGTGTTATACAAACTGATATCTACTTCCAGACCACTTCTCAAATGGAAGAATTTCACAATTGGCACCTTTGCTGTTGTAATAGGTAAGATGTTTCTCAAACCTAGATTGGGAAATAAAACAGTATGGTTAAACATGGAAAATGGAGATAAATATGGCTTTTATGCTACCCTATCAATGTCAAAATGATGTGAACTTAACTGGGTTCTCTATGACTAGTGAGAGAATTCTGCTATTTACAAGCACCTGGGAAAACTTTTCAGACCAAGGTGACATTTGTTAAACATATCCATATCTGAATCACAAGGAATTAAAACGTGGCCACTATCTTCTAGGAACTTACTGGATCCTGAGTACATGTGTGCTTGTAGAGCACATACAGGGGATGCTAGTCTGACTCTCTCATGCACACACACACACACACACACACACACACAAAGGGAACTACTACAGACTCTGGACAACATAGCGCTTACTTATTTTCTCCTTAGGACCACATCTAATTTGGAGAATAGCCTATGGGGCAATCACATCAATTCACGTACAAAAAATTATTCACCATCGAGTTTAGCTAGAAGTTACAAAAGTAAAACAAAGGACTCAACTTCAGTGGCAGAAGGAAACTAAGCCAGACTTTGAAATAGAGTGAACTGTGGAGATATACTGGGCAAAGGAAAACAGAATACCATGCCTGGGGAACTTCCATGCAACTATGCAGGCTGGAGAATGATTTGGAGAGAGGGATATGAGTAATAACATATGGGGAAGAAACTAGGCACACCCAGAGACCTCTTCTGTCCTGTTAAGAATTATCCTTAGACACCAAGAAGCTAATGAAATGGCAGAAGGTCAGGAAGTCACTGACATATCTAGTTCAACAGTGCCTCTAGCAATGGACAGACTGGAGGTACTGTGAGAGACATGATGATCATTTACGAAAGACATCTGGCCTGAACAAACACAGTAGCATGACAATGCAGTGCTGAAGAACTAGGTGAGCACATCTGTGAGTGCATGGGAGGAGTGATGGGGAGGTGGTGGAAGCATGAACAGCTACATTTCCTGAGCATCAAATTCAGGAAGAGCCCTTTAAAAATGTTACCTCCTTGGACTTACCAACCTGCCCTTATAGAAGAGAGAACATACATGCCCAGAAACTCACCTAGCAATGAATCTGGTATACTGTGGAGCTGGAACTCAAATTGAGATCAGACAGCCTCTATACTTTGGCTGAATCAAGTCTAAGTCAGGCTAAGGATCGTATCAACCATTTTGGTGATTCCAAGGATGCCAATGTTTACTATCAAGAAAGAGGATTCAGAAGCAAGTAGTGGTGGTACTTGCATTAGAGGGGAAGTAGTGAAGACAAAGACGAGCTTATGCAAGAGGTAAAGTTTGAGTTTCTTCTGAGAGAGTTAAGTGTGATATCTAGAAAGCAGATACCTAATATTTCCTCCAAAACAAAGCCTAAATGGAAAATAAGCCCTAGCATGATTTTTCAGGATGCTCATAATATAAGCACCCTACTCCCCATATTAGCCCTAGTTAAGATCATCAGATAGATGCACTTGGTGTTTCTGTTGCAACATACAATGGATGTACTGAATTATAAAATACTACTAATATATAATCAAATATAAATAACAGACATTAATGCTTTAAACAAATACTATAAATTATAAGTATTTGTAAATAACCAAGTGGGCACCTTTAATTAGTTTTTTATGAATTTAGGACAGGGTATACAGGGTCTCACTACATAGATCAGAATTGTAGTGATTCTCCTGTTTTCAGCCTCCCACACACTGGGATTAACAGGCATGTGCCACCACACCCAGGCTCAATCACTGTCTCAGCATGCCCTGGGGCTGGCAATGTACAATGGGGATCCAACCCTGGCCACTATGCTCTGCCTAACCAGATGCTTTAGTCCACTGAGCTATCTGTTTGGCCCTTTGTGGGCACCTTTAGACGAGATATAAAAGCCTATTTAAACAAACTCTAGACTTACTGCTAAGTGACTAATCTGAGTATAGACACAATGCACGAATAATGTTTATACTTGATAATAAATAAGACTTTGAAATAGACTGATTGTGTTTAATATGAATCTCCGGAATTCAACGTGGTGTGTGTTGTATATAATACATTTGTGTGAAATAAACATTTTCTGAATTTCGGTGTCTCAATTTTTTTATAGTTTTTGTGTGGACCATCCTTGTAAAATGTCAACGTTTTGGTTGCCAATTCTGTACTGTACATCTTCAACTCATTTAAGGAGACTCCATGAGGCCTAGCCTGCAAGAGGTCTTGACTTTAATGACTAATTCATGGGGTAAGACTCCCGATAGCTGTGCTGCCAATGTACTACAAGCAGGCTACGTAGACAAGAAGTGCTCATTTAACCAGAGCACCACTTTTACAGGAGATGGTTTACAGGAGATGGAGTCACAAGGAATTCAGGCTGGAATTCAGGGGCTGGAGGGTTACGCTGATGTGTAAGAAGATAATATGGCTGTTTTAAAATAAAGATTGTACATGAGAAAATAAGATATCCCCTGCAAACAAGCCGTACTGTATCTTTCAGAGCAAAATTAATGTATGGCTAATCTTACTTTCAGGGAAATACGGCACACCATGATATCACATCACAGAAATTGGAAAACAATACAAAGATGACAGAGATATTTCAGAAAAAATAGGCTTGTGTGGGACTGAGCAACTCTTAACTCACACTATGGAGTTGAGAGGTATAGAAGCTTCACTTAATGGCTTCTTAAAATGTGCAAGGTTTAGTAAAGACAAGGAACAGGGCGCTTATGAGGCTGAGTGATAGCCTGGGATTGTACCAGCAGCAAATAGAAGTCAGGATCAAAACCATAAAATTGGAGCTGCAATGTAGCTCAGTAGTACAGATTATGCTGAGTGTGATCTTTAGCACTGAAAACGAAAAACAAAACCCCCCAGAGAATCTGATTCCAGAACCGTATCTACTTTGCTGTATTGCCTCTAAGTCAGATGCCCCTTTTCCATCTCCTTCCTGATTAGGGATTCAACGCTTACTATAATACAGTACTGATAAGCCTATCCTCTAGGATCTATGCATGGCAAATTATCCTGCATGTATTTTATCATTCCAAAGGTACCCTACTCAGTGAAATTAAAGTTTAGTCCTCAACCTCTCTCCACCGATCTTCTGGCATTCTGTTTTATTTTTCATATTTACCTCAGTGTTTCTCAGACTTTTGACAAGAACATTTTTACTTTCATCTTCAATCATGACAACTTCCTATTTCTAACTGCTTACTGGGCTGTTAACTCTTGAGAGGTTATATCTTCAAAACAAATACAACACTTCCAAATAGGTATTCACTGAAAACACTCTTATTCCTTAAGTACTGAGATATCAGCCTCAACCCTTATTCCTACCTGTAGGTATCAAATCTAAACAAGCCAAACCAAAGCAAACTAAAACAAACCTCTGGAATCACTCATCTTTTTATCAGCATTCTGCCCTGATTCCTTTATTTCTGTTTCCCTAGGACAGACTGTACCCCTTGCCCACAAAATCTGTTTTGCTTTAACTGAAATTTCAGTGGGTTCCAAATATTTATACTTCACCTATCTCCTATTTCCCAGTTGAAAGTCCTCCCCAAAGTACCAATCTTCTCACCATTCTTTAAAATATGCTACGATTAATTTCCATGTTCATATCTATACACGCTTAAGATTTCTCTTTCCATCCTGGAAAAATTATATCATCACTGAGATCAGAACAGTCCCACATTTCCATAAGCATCTCCATGCAACTTTTCCCATCGCCTTCCCAAGTTACTTAACGCTTACATGAGCTTCTATTACTCACTTGGTGATAGGTGAATACCACTTTACATTTTTCCCAGTTTGTTACATGGTCTTACTTCTTACAAGCTGAAAGGTGTCCAAGGAAAAACTTAGCAGATTTTTAATTTTTTCCACTATTCTTAAGTGCCCAATGCAGAGCACATAGTACATACTCAATAAATGTTTTATAGTCTTCTAGTTGTTAATAAATTGTTGTGTATGTAATTGGCATTCTATGACTATGTATGTGTGTAAGTCATTCCTACTCTAAAAATAATCTGCTTTAACATGTTTCATCTTAGAGGAAATATACACTGAAGTACCTAGGGAAAGGAATATGATGTCTGTACCATAACCCTAAATGGCCCAGAAAGAAACAAGAGCAAGCAATAATCAATAATTGAGTTCAAATTTAGTTCATCACTAAAAAAACCCTTATAATGAGAAATTAGGTTTCTTTGCATAACCTTTGAAAACAAACCAAAAAACGACCTTTGAGGTGGAATACTGAGGAAATGCTTTTCAATGAATAAAGAAAATTTTTATCAATGTATAATAAAAAATGTACCCAATGGTTACTTTTCATTAAGCAATTACCAAAAATAACATTTTTTCCAGGTATTTAAATAACCTGGTAGTTCATTTATTTAAACTCCTAGAATAAAAATAAGGGGAGGCACTCAAGGTGTATATTTGTGAAGTCTTCTCCTGACTGAAATGTAAGACAGCTTTTCACAGACTACAGATTTTAAGTTCCATGAGGACAGGGACTATATCCTGTTTATCTTCAATTCTGGATCAGGGCATAGTACTTGTGAAAGTACATTTTTAAAAGATGCTTTTCCATGTGAAAAGCCCCGACAGCCACCCCTGATAGTAGAGGTATGTGCCAGTGGTGTTTTAGATTATGTTAGTGACTCCATGTGTGATGTGTAGAACCCCCACATTTTGCAGCTGTAAATACTCGATTAACTACCCACTCAGTTCTCCTCACTTACTGGTAAGAGCTCACATGAAGCTTGAGACTTGACCAGTGTTGATGCAGTGGGCTGAGAAGAACAACTGCAGAGCAGACCCCAAGCCAGGGCTTCTCCTCACTGCACTGCACATAGCTTTTAGCAACGCCCACGCTTTGACTTACACAACATCAACAGCAAATAATTTCAAAACTTTTCTGCCTGACATGTGACTTGTCCAGAAATAAAATGACCAGGGAATATTATGCACACAAATTATCCTCAGTCTTTCCTAGTCAGTCATATAAGACTTTTTAATGACATTAATATAGCACATATTCTATAAATGAGTGACTATATAACTTCATTAGCACTATTAAGTATAAATATGCAAAATACTAATGAAAAAGATATAATTTGTGTTTTGGTTTTTTTTTTTTTTTTTTGGATAGGGTTTTACTGTGTAGTTCAGGCTGGCCTTGAACTCACTATGTAATCCAGGCAGGCCTCAAACTTGTGGTAATCCTCTTGACTCAGCCTTCTGAGTGCCAGGATCACAACCAAAATAATGGAAATATTTTTATAAAGTTTTCAGAGGTACCTGAATGTTTTCTGAGGACTCTTGCCAATTCTTCAATAGTTCTTACACAGTCTAACCCCTGCAGGAAAGATGGCATAAATAACTGAATCAAAGCTAGAAGATGGGTTTTTTATAGTTTCCATTACCTTCAGAAATAATGAAACTAATTTCACTGATTGTCAGTACGCATAGGAAATAACCTAAAGACACAAAAACTGCTAAATACCCTATATCCCAATCGCTTTTGGAGGTGCAGCAAAGGCTAAAATCAATCAGGAAGCCCAGGGACCCAGAGCTTCCGTTCCCTAGATGAAGCTCTCCCCTCCCTCTGTGTAACTCTCTCACTCAGAAGCACAACAGGACTAGAATGTGTAAGACAAGGCTTCAGTGTTCCGTCTTACTCATTCTGGGCAGACCTTTATAGCTCCATGACTTGCTGTGGAGAGTGATTAAACTCACATTATTTTCCATAGGACTAGCCAAAATTATAATGTATCAAATTAAAGGCATGTAATGAAGTGTTTCAAATAACAACTAAATCATACTTAAAAACATTTTTCTGCCCTAGCAACATAAACTCATTTAATGCCTATACACAACCCAAAACACACTTGGAATTTTACTTTAGAAATGCCCAAGTTAGTTTATGAACCATGTTATTATTTATTAATTTAATTTAATTTTTTAAGTATTTAGTACAGGGTCTACAGAGTCATTACTACACAGATCGGGTTTGCAGTGATCCTCCTGTTTTTCAGCCTCCCAAGCGCTGGGATTACAGGCGCATACCACCACGCCCAGTCTCAACTGCAGTCTCAGCGTGCTCCGGAGGTTGGGCTGGCATTGCACACTGGGGATCGAACTCCCAGCTCTTGCATTTGCCTAAGCAGGTGCTTTAATCTGCCTATCTGGCTGGCCCTAAACCATGTTTTTAAACCAACCAACCAACCAACCAACCAACCAACCAACCAACCAACCAACCCACGCTACTGTAGCTGGGCCTAGTGGAATATGCCTGTCATTTCAGCTCCCTGGGAGGCTGGGCTGCAGGTGTACCACTTTGAGTCCAGCTGAAGTGCTGGGGATGTAGCTCAGTAGCAAAGTGCTTGCCTGGCATGTACCAGCATCTGGGTTCAAACCTCAGTACCACAAATAAATAACAGGGAGTCAGCACTTCTCAGACTTTACCTTTATGTAGTTTTTATAAGTGCTTTCATATACATCCAGAGATGGCAAACTTGACTTTTGTGGACCATATGGTCTCTGTTACAACTATTAAAGTCTGTAGTCACAGTATGAAAGAGCCATAGAAGAAATACAAATGGGTGTGTGTGGTTCTGTTCTAATAAAACTATTCACAGAAACTGACTGTGACATCAACTTAGCCCACAGGCCAGTTTGCTGACTTCTGACCCACACAACTGTGCACATCGATCCTTGAAGAAAGAGGAACAGAAATTATTTTATTTTTACTTTAAAGATTTGTACCAAAGATCTAATGTTTACGTACAGATGAAAGCAAGCTCATCTCAAATCCATGCCTCTGCATAATACAGTTAGCATTCTTAGCCTGTACCATGTGCCTGCCTCATCAGAAGGAATTACAGGTAACTTTGCGTGACTGTCCATACCCAGTCTGTCTAGTGGCCAGGACAATGGTGCAGCAAGCTTGGCTTTGTGAAATTCCCTGCGTTACTTTCCAATCCACTCATGTTATGAACTTAAAGTATAAGGCTTCTGTTTTTCACATTCACCTTTTAGGCTTCTCAGGGTATTTGGCTAGAGGGTGTGCCATGTGGCATCTCCACAGTTTACCCCCAAATAAATTTGGAAAAGACCACACTGTGCTCTTTGTCAAGATTAGTTAAATCACATTGCCATAGCAAACTCAAGTTTTAGGGCCACGATTATAGCTCACTGGCTCAAGTGCCTGCCTGGTAAACACAAGGTCCTGAGTTTGATTCCCCATATTTCTCCTCAAAACAAACAAACAAACAAAAAAAAACACCTTTGGGGCTGGGAAGATAGCTCAGTAGAATAAGTGCTTGCCTGAGTTCAATCCCCAGTTCTGCCAACCCCCCCCCAAAAAAAAAATAATAGAAATTCAAGTTTTATGTGGTCACTGTACCTCAGCAGTTTCATGTCCATTAAATGTCATACAAATGTCAAGGTCACTCTGTTTGAATCCAAATCCATTTTTGGAGGAGCCAAACAAGCTCAATTTAGTTCCTGTTAGAGATATAAGAAAGATAATAACTAATTAGATAAATATATTTGGTTTTGATCAAAATGGCCCTCTCATGAATCAAAAACACCCAGTTAGAAACTATCCTAGCTCTTAATAATTTTCTTAGTAATATATTCCAAAACATTTTTCTTTCAAAGTTACTTTCACTACAGACACAAACTATACATGTCACCAAAGACTACCACATGACACTTTATTCTTAAATGCAAGGATATTTCAAAGAATATGTAGATAACCTCAATATTTTTAATAATGTAAGTTTATTATTTTCTAAATAAATGTTCTTTTCAGAGATGTGAACTTTAACTGTAATAGTAAATGAAACTCATTTGTGGCACCTACTAGGATAAATTCTACATTGCTAATTTCTTTTCTTTTAGTTAACTGATTTGGCATTGGATGAAAGCTCACTGCTTTATCTTATGGAACACCTGAGATGTTGACCCCATAGTCACTACAAGATCATCTCATTTTCAAAATTAACATGTTCTGAAATAAGTCCTTGTATCACCTTCCATTTTGTATACTTAAAAAATTACTTACCTGGAAAGTCCTGTCTTATGAAACTCTCTAGGTTTTGTCGAATATGTTCACGAGCCTGCTCTTCTAAAGTATTTGGAGAAAAATCCTCTGTTTAAGATAGACACAATGAGAAAAAGAAAAAAACATTCTTTGAAAACACTAAAAAGTAATTTTCAGAAAATAAAACCTACAATGTTAAAAGGAACACAAAAACAAAAACTAAATTTTATACCTTCTCAGTAAATAGCACTAGCAATGTGAGATAAACTGCTTTCTGCTTGTTTACTTTTTGTGTTTTCTTAAGACAGGGTCTTGCCATGTAGTATCAGTGACCTTTAACTCCTTATGTAGCCCAGGCTGGCCTCAAACTTGGGATCTTTCTGCTTCAGTCTCCTGAACACTAAAATTACAGCTGTTTGCCACCATGCTGGCTTCCGCTCCCTCAACATAAAATTCTATTACCAAAAAGCTATTCTTGAAATGCAAACTAATTTGCTTTTATCTTTTATCTATTTATTATTAATTTTATTGAGAAACAAATAGCAATGAGACAGTTTCAAAACAGGTTAGTAGGACAGTTACAATAATTGATACATCGCATATTGTCTTCATAGTGGTTATTCATAGTACAAGATGCACACATGATATCCTGTCTAAAAACTATTAGTACAAAACTTTCTTCTCATTGAATTAAGAGAAAGTAGTTATATAGCTATACTAACTACTTTGTGTATACAGATACAAAATGGTCCTTCACCTATATCCCCTTTTTTTTAGTTTCGTCAAAAATGGGTATGCCATTGCCATTTAAATATTGTAGGTGTGTGAATTCAGCAAAATAATCCAACACAGTCCAGTAGTCCATACTAGTAGTAGGTTATCCATAGGACTGGCAATGTCAGAAGTTGTTGACTTGAGCCTTTTACAGCTCAGCATATTAATATGGCTTTACTTTTTATACTTAGTTTTTATACTTTTCTGCTAGATGGTTAACACCAAGATAAATCAAGAACTATGTAACACAAAATGTAACTTCTGTATCTGACAGGGTCTGTCAAGTCTGAAGGTCAGCACCTGATTTTCTAGAGACTCTCAGAAAGTAAATACAAAAATTATGAGCATGGCCATGTTTTTTTCTTAAAACTCAAGAAAACCTCCTTTTGTTTTATAGTTCCTAACTGCTAAAAGGTTCATTTATAAAAAGTCCCTGATGAGGTGGTTGTGACACAGAGCTGTAGTCTCAGTTACTTAAGAGGCTGAGGAACGAAGATCATTTGAGCCTGAGTTCAGGACAAAGTTGGGCAACATAGTGAACCCATCTCAAAAATGTAAACAAAGAAGCAAGCAAGCAAACAAAAATATCCCCAAGACCTGGTTAAGAACACTCAACTTACACAGACAGACACTTCAAGATGCAGCATCATGAAGCATCAAGCTGCTGCACTGTAAGCAGTGGAATGTCCTTTAAACGTTCTCTCTGCAGAACCCGGAGTCTCTCTTACACTCAACTGGAGTTTCTTTAATTAAAAAGTATTCTGTGCTCAAATTTTGGAAATATTACACTAAAGAGTTAAATATGGGGGGCTAGTGAGATCACTCAGCAGACTAAAGCACTAGCTTAGTTAGGCAAGCTCAGAGATGTGGATTGATCCCCAGCACCACATGATGCACCAGCCCTGCCCCCAGGGAGGACTGAGCCAGCCATGGATACTGTCTGCAATCCCAGTATTGGGGAGGCTGAAAGCAGGAGGATCACTATGAGTCCAAGCTGCTGCGTAGTGAAACCTTGCAACAAACAAATATATTAAAAAAAAGATTAAGAAATCTTTACCATAACTTGCTGGGAAGCCTTTAGTATGTTAATGTGCCCTAGAAATCTCCAAGGAAAAGACTGGGGATTTAGCTTAGCAATACAGCGCCTACCTAACAAGCACAAGGCTTTGAGTTTGAGTCAAAAACAAAACAAAACAAAACAAAAAACCCCAAGGGAGATGGCAGAATGGCAGAGGGTAGAATTACTCCTCATTTTGCCAGGGAATGCTTGTGTACATAAACTTCTATTAAGTGTACCTACAAAAACATTTCCAGGAATACCAGTTGGAAAATGCGGGCAAAGAACTCTAATCTCAAGACCTCAAGAGGGGGCAAGAAGGGGAGCAGTGGAGCTGCTTTCTAGGCATAAGGCTGGGGTTGCAGACCCTGCACTGGGGGAAGGCATGTACTTCAAGGCCCCCTTCCCACCATGCCTTCATTGAGTACCTACTGTGTGTCTCAAATGAGGCAGGTAAGACAAAAGAGTGTTGACCCGATAGAGAAAGAATAGTGTTTAGAGTGCTAATGGTACAGTGATGCTGATGACTCCTGAGAAAATGTCAATCTACTACTCTGACAGATCAAAAGAAATGCAAATGACTTACTGTAACACTGGATGCAAACTTGATCTAAGATATACAAAAACTTGGGTGTCAGTGGAGGTAAAGGGTCCAGCTGGATTCTTTTGAAATCTTCAGGACAGTCCTTTTTCCGGTGTCCTTCTCGTTTACATAAGTTGCACACTACTGTGGGAGACTGTCAAAACATGGGAAAGTAAAACAACACATACGATAAAACTTTATGTGCCAAATAAAGGGGATTTAGAATCTTTTACTTTTTTATTTTTGTTGAAGTACATGTAAAGGAATGAAGTATAATATACAGCCAATCTGCACAATCTGAAATTTGGCAATATCTGTACAGTACTCTCAGGAGGAAAGAATAGTTCCCTTCCTTCTTTGCAGATTTCCACAAATCTTAAGGAAGTTGATCAAGTGGTAGTATTAGGATAAAAAAGAGAAACTCGTTAGCTGCAACCAAAAGGGAAAATCTTGTTCTGCTATTAAAATCAACACCATATGCATTCAAGTAGTTTAGTCTCCTAGGTTTCTAAGAGGCACTGATTACCTTGCCTTTGGTGAAGATAAGTTTACTAAATTCATAGATGAAATCAGACTGATCCACAGGTGAGTTTTCTTCCTGTACATTTTCCTCTTTAAGATTTATTTCATTAAGTTCCATGAGCAGAGCTTCATCTATATATTTTCCACGTTCTTTCAAGTCCTCATATTTAACAAGGTCAACTAACTCATCCTCCTCTTCAGACAGGGTGTCCTCATCCCCTGATCCAGTATAGGTGTTGTCTAACTCATCTTCATTAGCAATGTCATCCTCGACTTCCTGTTCGTTAAAGGCAAGTCTGGGTTCTTTTTCCTCTTCTTCGTCAAACTGAATGATTTGTGATGTCTGGTCTTGGATTACAGGGGAAATGTGGTTCACAGAATCTTCTAGCTCACTGGTACCTTCTGTACTTTCTTCAAAATTAGTCTTGTCATCTAAGGTAGCAAATCCATCACATTTTTTAGTCATAGGATTGTGGAGGCCGTCTAATTCCAAAGCACATCCTGTCCCATAATTATGTACACTGCCACAGGCTACCAGCTCTCCACAGTTGCCCTCCCTTTCAATTTTCTTTTTCTCACTTTTACCTCCTCTTTCTACTTGTGCCTGGACATAGCTTATGTCTTCTAGGTGGATGCTGATGTCATTTCCCATTTCTTCTGTTGGTAGACTTCCAGAGCTTTTTATCATTTCTCTAAGAGACAATGGCTGTGCATTTTGGGTATTTGTAGTTGATGTGGTAATAGCACCAGGACTTTGGGCCAAAACTGAGTTTCTAAGCTTATCATCTTTTGCTTTTATACCTGGATCATAATTTTCTACTTCTTTACAATGTTCTGAAATACATGAAACTGGGCTCAGAGGCTTTGGAAGACTGGATTTTCCAACTTTATGTGGAAGAGCAAAATATTTATATGTTGTCCTTAAACAATGAAGTATATATTCAAACACAGGTTGATTATTTAGGGTTCTTGCCACATTTCTCTTAACAGAGTAGGGATCTGTAACGAAAAAGAAAACCACTTCATATATTCTAGTTAATGTCTTAAAAAATAGCCTGCTGCAGACAAAAACAGCAAATAAATAACAGTAAAATTTATCACATGCTTTAAAAAATGTACCCCTTCCCTATTTTGCTCTGTGACTGGGGATGCAGGACAGATGTCATCAGTGTGGCTTTCGTGCCCATGGGAAAGTCTTCCCAGCAGGCTTTGTGGCTGTGTGCTCTACTCGCCCTCAGCCAGCCCTGTGGTTTGTAGAGCTTACCTCCACTCTTCTGCCCTGGGAAGCCCCATCACTGAATTGGCTGGACTGAATTTCTGGGGTGAGAGGGAGGCACCAGGAGGAGACACCACTTCTCTCAATCTTTTCTCCTCCCCTAGAACTCCAGCAGGTTAGGCAATTGGCCAGAAGAGCTGAGCCAGAGAAACTGCAGGGGAGGGTTTAAAAATGTGAGATTCCCCATGACTCCACAAATAATTTATGCAAAATGCAAAAAAACCCTCTTATGCAACATAAAGCTTGAAAAAAAAAATCAAGCAAAAAATAAGAGAATTCCACTGAGGAGATTCCTTAAATTATTTAAAGGAGGAGAATTAAGATTTCTAGAGGAGCTTCAACCTCCTGACTTTGCAAAGCTGAGAAGGGCTAACTTATTTAAATAACATGTATAGGGCACACCAGTGTATCTTTGATATTCTGCTTTCAGTTCAGTCAGCATTCACTAAAAAGTGTTTTTAATGAGTAAGTTACTGCATATTATTTCAAAAAATAACAGTTTATTCCCTTTATTAGAGTGTTATACAACTGAGAACATCAATTTTCATGAAAAAAGAAAATTTTTCTCATTCTGTAAAACTAAACATCAAAATAATCCACGAGAGGACTGTATTCAGAAATCCAGAAATAAGAACAGTAAAGAGGAGAGGGAAACTCACAGGCCACTGGGAATAACTGCACACTGTGAAGCAATTTAAAATAGGGATCCACCTAGCCATTATTCAATTGTGTAACAATTAAGATAGTTAGTGGTGGTACCTAAAAAATCCAGGACAAACCCTTTGGTCTCTCAGAAGGACCCACTAGATTATATTTATTTCACCTCTGAGGTTAGGCCTACCTTACAAGGAGTTGAGAAAGAGACTGAAATAAAAACCATGCTGTTAAGACTGAGACCTTAAAAAAAAAAAGAAATTAAATATTTTGAGATACCTTCAATGGCAATGCGCTTTTTAGGCCAATCCTTTGATTCCCGAGATACTGATTCTTTGACACGGATACTTATCACTAAATCAGCCAGATTAAATTCTAAAGCATAGAATCGCAGCAACTCCACCCAGAGCTGCCCAACTGGTACTGAAGGCTGGTGTTTTATGTCAAACATTAATGATACCTATTAACAACAAAGAGAAACATACAGATTATTTCATATACCAACTCAATTAGAAAAACAAGAGGTTATTCAAGCACTGAATTAAAAATTTTGAAAAATCTTAGCAAAGATACAAATTAGATGAGCCATCTAAATAAATCAAATTAAAGGTTCTATTTCACTTGTTGTAAATAGCATCATTTCACTGCATCCCTGGGGTCAGCATACATTACATTCTAGTAATTATCTCAGGAAGAGACATAGCCAGCTTATTTCCCAGGCAGCACATATAATTCTAATATCTTTCTAACAAGTGGAGGCCCTCACAGTTTGTTAATATTCTCAGCACAGGCCTTGCTGTCACTGCTGTGGGCATCACCTTTATGGGTATGGACACAACAAAATAGATAATGGCTTAAGGACAGAGAAAAAGGAAGAACACTCCTTTCACTGGCCAGACATGACACATAAGCACACTAAACCTACTGGTGGCAATTATTTTAAAGTCAAATAACTTGATATCAGAAACTAATACTAATCAGAAACTAATACTAGTTTTAGAGTCACAGACTTTGGTCAAGTTTGAACAGCATACTTGGTGTAATATATTGGAATATTCATAGGATTTAGGGAAAAAAGATCCAAATAGTGATTCTGCCCTTCATATCTCTTAACTGTTTGGCAACTCAGCTTGTCCGGTCTCAGACTAGCATACAGAACAATGGCTGAAAGCACTGGCTTTGGAATCAGGACAAAGCTTAGTTTAAAACCAAACTCTACCAAGTACTAGCTATGTAGAATTCTGATCATGGTCTCTGACTTAACTAAGACTTGTTTCCTCATCTGAAAAACGGGGATAATAGTACCCACCTCATAGGGCTGTTGGGAGGACTGAGTGAGATAGTGTCTGTAAAGTGCTTAGCACAGTGCCTGGCACACAGTGTTCAAAAAGTGGTCGCTACCATTATCTGCAGAGTAGGGATGGTACCACCTACAACACAGGATAGTTTTGTGGGTTAAATCAGAAGCAAGGGAAAGCATCCGGTAGACACGGCTGCTCTCTGTACTCTTTCACTTACATATAGTCTTTTTAAGTGCAAGAAATCCATATACACTGAAACATTCTGTCACACTGTGAGATGCTCTGAAGAGGCAATCTAGCACGACTCCCACACGTGACTTGTCACAGGTCGCACCGCTCATCAGGGGAAAAACAAATCCCTCGGTCATAGCCATGTGCAACTTACGCAGTGTCTAGGGCTCATTTAACTCAAAAGTGGCAGTATAATAATCTTTCCCGTAGCGTAAAAATGTAATATTAAAGCATTACGTGGACTTACAGCAACAGCCTTCTCTTCACATTATTCTTACCATTCCCAGTGAAAAAAAACCTTTCCCTCCTAAGGCATACACATTTGTTTCTGATCACTAGTTGTATGATGCTTCAAAATAAATAGTATGGTAGCTTATTAATCAGTAAATCTCAACCACAAGGGTGATTATCTGGTGGATTTACAAGGCAGAACTGATTAAAAATGGAGGCTTCTCAGGTCTCAAACAATACAGCTGAGGATAAAAAGAAACCCCCAGAAACTTAACATCTGCTCAATTTTTACCTCTTCATCCACAGGCTTTTTCAGCTTCACAAATTTTTTTTTAAGATCTCACAAAATGACGTGAAATCTGCAACATGGAACTTAAAAGACCTCCAAAATATCTAGACTGCTGGTACTTAAACTGTTTTTTGAAAAGCAGAGAACATTTCTTTTTCAAATAAAATAAGAATAGTAGCTCCTATTTACTGAGTGCTTACCACTTGCTTGGCACTGAGTTAAACATTCTAGAAATCAGTGACCCTATGAGAGGGTACTAATAGTATCCCCGTTTCTAAGGAGGAAACCAGTGTAGAAGGATTGAGTAACTTGCACAAAGACACACAGCTAAGGAGGGAGGAGTCAGGACATGAGTTCACATATTCTGGCTTCACAGACTGTGCTCTTATTTACCACTGGAACCTTGAATAGAAAAGAGATAGAGGTGGTGCTCTGCTGGTGGCAGCAGAAGTAGAGTGGCTCCTTTTCCATCCTCTTCCACCACATAAGGATTTTAGAAAGCATTATTGGAGATTCTATGAGTACCACTATCTCACTTGAGTCATGAAGAGTGGGAAGGAGATGTGACGCGACATTTTATTATGGAGCTAAAATTGGAATCCTTGTCTCGGAAGTATTTTGTGGATATTACTGTCATGTTGCTACAAAGGGTTATGTAAAGCTTAGGGACCTTTCACCATTTTGGGATAGAACTCTATTATTATCATTAATATAATTGCACTGCACAGATTTTCATTTGAAACTCTACTGGCAATTCTTTATAAATACATTCTTCTGTGTATGTTATGTATTTTTTTCACTGCTATTTCAGTAATGAAGTTATTTTTCCATACAATTAAACTTCATAATACCATCTAAGACCTGAGCTCTTTAGAGGGTAGGGATTTGTCTCTGAACTCTCACTGACCTTCCAAGGTCTCTGTACACAGAAGAAACCATATAAATATAGACTTCATAGCTTAAAATTTTATTTTTTTTTCACTATTGGTCTATTTAAGGTACTGACCAGACTAGGAAATGGAATAGCCACCAAATAGATAAGACGGTTAAGAAGACAAGAAGACCAGTTAACCCATTACCACCACTGCCCCCTTCACTGAAACAAGTATCAATGGTGAAGCAAGTAAGAAGAGGTAACAGACCTGTCCCTTTCTGACTGGCATTTCTTTTGGAGCCACCTCTTTGGCTGTGTTTGTGTCCCCAGAAGCATTCTCAGTATATTCCCAGATCACAAAATCTTCCCCAACATCTTTAAGGTTGAAGTTTCCTAGTTTGTTTAATGAGAATCCTTCAATCTAGGAAAAATTAGACAATTACAAGGTAGAAATAATTTTGTGTCAATTATAGCATATTAAAATAGTGGAAGAAATGAAAAATTAACATAGTTTACTGTACATACAAAGATAACACTTATGGAATATTTGACATATTATATAAATAAATATTTCTTAAACTGAAATATAAGTTTGATTTGCAAAAGAAATGATCTACAATACAAAATAAATAAATAAAAAAGAAATGGTAACTTTGTGAAATAGAATTATTTCAGCAACTATTTTGGGATGGGGTGTAGCCTGGTGGTAGAGCACTTGGCAGGCATCATAGGAGGCCTTCAGTTTCACCCCCAGTATTAGGAGGATGGTGGTAGGGCAGTGTGGCCAAGTGGTGGAAGTTGTGAGTTCTGGAGTAAAACTGAGTGGCCCCAATCTTAGGTTTCTTATGGACTAGCTCCGTGGCTTTGGGTAAAAAGTGTTCTCTCTAGACTTCAATTTCCTGTAATAGAGGATAGCACTAGAGCTTTACTTGTGGGAATATATGTGACATAAAATATCTATTTTTAGTATACAGCACATAGAAATACTAAATATAAGAAATTACACATATGGTGTGAAGAGATGCAATTATAAAACTATATTCTACTTAGAACATGATTTTAGATACTATTACTTTTGCTTAAGTACATTTTGCTTTCGAGACAGTCTATATAGAAAGAGCTCAGGCTGGCCTTGAACTTGGTGACCCTCTGCCTTGGCCAATGAGGTGTGTGTCATCACACTAAGCACGAAGCACACTGTTACGTGCTAATAATGAGCATTAATGCAAAAGATAATAGTCTGGGCTCCAAAGCTCAGAGAAACATTATTATATGACAGGACTCATCAGTGTGGCCTACACTGCCTAGTAAACAGAGTGAGCTGTGGGTGGGTGTGATGTGCTATCCTGCTGCCCAAGCATATGTCTATACCACTTGGACCATGTCGTAGGTTCATCCACATTGTGTAGGTGTTTTTCTAGTCTCTTCTCTAACTAGCTCCCCACTTTTCACTCTTTCTAATCCTATTTTTTCTTCAGAAATATTACCATTCCTTGATAGATACCTATTAATCCCCCTTAACTTGCTGGATGTTAATTTGCAGGGTGAGGACTTTGTTTTAGCAGCTGCCCAGGGTAAACACTCTTTAAGGATGCTGATGATTTATTGAATGAAAATATTTGCCCAAGAAAGTATAAGGTGTGACAACTGCTATTTAGAACTTGCCTTTTGGGTTTCTTAATGTTTTTTTCAATAAGAAAAGTTTAAAAGTTCAATCAAATTAAATTTATCAGTGTTTCTTCATTGACATGTTTCACATTTTTACTGTTCTAAAAATCCTGCCTACAAAGATTCATTTACATCTTTTACCCATTTTGAGTTAATTCAGGGATATGTTGTAAAGTAAAAGCTTAAGCCAGGGGGTGAGGGGTGGATAGCTCAGTGCCATAAGCACCTGCCTGACAAATGAAGGGTCCTAAGTTTGATCTCCAGTACTAAAAACAAAAACAAGTTTAATTTCTTTTTCTTTACAAATATGGTTTTGGTGTATTATTTATTGAAGAGATTTTTTCCTTTTCCCAAAGAACTTCTTAGGAACCTTTGTCAAAAAGTGAATGACTACTACAACGGATTGAGTGTTTTAATCCCCAAAGCCTTGGAGTATCCTACAGTGACCTCATTTTATTCTCTCAGCAATGCCCTATAATATTTAGTTTAGAAGTCTTGCATATTTTGTGTTAAATTTATTCTTAAACACTGTATGTTTTCTGACACTATTAATGTTTTTGTTTAGTTTTTTTTTTTTTTTTTTTTGAGAGGGTCTTGTTAACTTGCCTAGGCTGGCCTTAAACTCATGGTCCTCCTGCCTCAACCTCCTGGGTTGAAAACTTCATTTTCCAATTGTTTGCTTCTAGCATATAAAAGTACAATTGATTTACACACAATCGTCATCCATAGTTTCATTAAATTTATTATAGTTCTAGGAGTTGCTTTGTATGTTTCTCAGCATTTCCAGTTAAAGAATCATGTCACCTGCATGTACAGAAAGGCTTATTTTCCTTTAGGTTCTTTCGTTTCTTTCCTTACTGCAATGATTAGGACTGCCTGAAAAAGCTGACGACAAAAGGGAGTGGCAGACATCCTTTGTTCTCAGTAACCTGGAAACATCCATTCTTCCACCATGAAAGTGCTACATTAGCTGAAGATTCTTCCAGATGTGCTCTATCAGGCTGAGAAACTTCTTCTTTCTGTTCCAAGCTCCAAATTTTTTAGTACAAAAGAACATTGTCAAGTGTTTCTGTCCTCTGCATGTTTTCACCTTTATTAAAATGGGGGATTAAATGATTTGCCTGAGAGGTCTGACTTGATTGTGATACATACATTTTATGTAATTTTTTATATATGCACGAGTTGATTTTTTTCTTCTTCTGGTACTAAGGACTGTAACACCCAGTGTTATTTATTTATTTATTAAAACAGACTCTCGTTAAGTTGCCTGGCTGGGCTCAAACTTGTGATCCTCTTGCTTCAACCTCTCCAAGGTACTGTGATCATAGGCTTGCACCACACTCAGCTTACTTTTGAGTTGCTTAGCCATTATTTTGCTAAAAGTCTGATATCCATGCTCATGGGGGGATACTTGCATATAGTTTCTTTTAATGTCTTTGGTTGCTCGTCAGAGTAATTAAAATTATTAGTACATGTTTGAAGTGTGTTCAACTCATACATATACAAAAAATGTGATAACTATATTCACCACGGGGAGTTGGTACATGTACATAATACATGCTAACTCTTTTTACAGGCCCTTTTCTTTTTTTCTATCAGGGTGATCTGGGCCTTAAATTTTTATATTCTGAAAGAGTTTACATATAGAATTGGCATTTTTCTCTTCCTTCAGTGTTTGACAGAATTCATTGGTGAGGCCTGAGGTCTGGTTTTCCTTTGTACAAAGGTTTTTAATTGCAAACTCCATTTCTGCAGTGGCTATTTAGATTGTTTTTCTTGACTGAATTTTTTCTTTTTGAATTTAATCTTATGAAGAGTAAGGCTTTTAATTCATTGGCATAAAATAGTTACAATATTTTGTGAAAAACAGTACTGTCTTCTTAACCATTTATGCTATAGGATTTGAAGTGATAGACCTTTCATTGTGAGTGTGAATTTTATTAATTTATGTTTTCTTTTTGGGGGAGGGCGTGGGGGCACTACAGGGGACTGAACCCAGGCCTTTCCCATGCGAGGCAAATACTCTGTCACTGAGTTATACTGCAGCCTATTTTGTTTTTACCAAATTTCCCAGGCTGGCCCTGAACTTGGAGTTCCTGCTTCAGCCTTCTCAGTAGCTGGTATTATAGGCAAAGGCTACCATACTTATGTGTGTTCTCTTTTTTAAAATTAAGTCTATTAAGTTTGGTTGTCAAACAACCCTGAGACCGGTTTTCTTCTTCTTTTTTTTTTTTTTTTTGAGATGAGGTTCTCACTATGCTGCCCAGACTGGTCTCCAACATGTGAGTTCAAATGAGTCTCCTGTCTCAGCCTCACAAACTGCTGGGACTATAGGACTACAAGGGTATACTCCAGTAACCAGCCTAAGCATGATGTTGTTTATCAAAGAGACAGTCAGATATTGTTAATTTTCTCTACTGTTAGTCTATTTTCTATGTACTGACTTTGCGCTCATTATACTACTTCCTTCCTTCTAGCCCTCTTTGGTCTTTGATTTCTAGCTTTCTGAAGTTAAACTTTAGGTCTTTGATTCTTTACTTGTCTTAGTTTAAGCTAATGAAACTTACACATTTCTCTGTGTAAACTATTTTATGAATCTCAAGTTTTTTAAAAGTGAGTCTTGCTACCTTGCTGAGGGTGGCCTCAAGAGGCTGGGACACACAGCAATACTACTGTGCCTAGCAAACAGTTACAAATAGTTTCTAAATCCTAAATCCTACGTGATTTCTGTTTTGATCCATAGATGACCTGGACATGCAATAATCTAGGTTCATGCGCTGTGGTCAGAGGCCATACCATTCCAATCCTTTTAAGCATACTGCAACTTCTTTTAAGAATTAGTATACAGTCTTTCTCTTAGATGCACTAAATGCACTTTAAAAAAATGCATATTTTCTATTTATTGGGTGGTATACTCTATAAAATTAGGTCAAGGTGACTGTTAAGTGTCTACAGGACCCTGATGTCTAGTGACATTGTCTAGCTAGCACAGGAGTCCACTAAGGATGTTAAATTTTCTTCTGACAACCAATATTTTCATTGTACATACTGTTGTTCTCCTAATCAAAACAAATATTTATGATTATATGTTCTAATACACATAATGAAATATACTTTTCATCTTTGATAAAACTTTTTCTCTTGAAGTCTATTTCATCTGAGAGCAAAATGGCATCTAACTTACTTTTGGTTGTAATCTACAGGTGTAACTTTTTCCACTCATTTACTTTCATCGTATCTGTCTTTATATTTTACCTATTGTATTTCCTTAGAAGCATAGCATTAGATCTTGCTTCTTAAAATCATTCTGATAATCTATGCTTTCTAATAAGGGTATTTATTAATATTTTTCATATCATTAGCTCTAACATATTAGTATTTGTTTCCTGTATGTCCATTTAGTTCTGAAGCTTCCATTTGGTTTTTACTTTTCTCTGGCTGGTATCTCCTGTCTTTTCATTCATTCATTCATTCATTCATTCAGTCTCACTACACAGATCAGACTCATAGTGATCCTCCTGTTTTAAGCCTGCCAAAAGCTGGGATTACAGGTGTGCACCACCACGCTCAGACTCACTGTCTCAGCAAGCCCCTAGGGCAGGGCTGGCATGGCACGGCACGGCACGGCACACTAGGGATCAAACCCCAGTCCCTGCGCCTCCCTAAACAGGTACTTTAGTCCGCTGAACTATCTGGCCGGCCCGGTCTTTTTTTTTTTTTTTTTTTTCATTTAATACAAGTGTAGCGTATTTATTTTATATTGTGGAATGTTACAGAAACTACTTTATAAAGTCTTTGACAGTTGTCACATTGGGTTCATCTTGGGGTTGGTGTTATGGTTTGGGTCCTAATTGCCCTCCAAAGGCGCATATGCTTAGTCACTGAGTCAAGTCACTTGCGTTACCACTTAAAGGAGCCAGAACTTTTAGGATTTTGGTTCTAGTGTAATATAAGTTATTGGGGACACAATCTTGATGGGGACCTTGAGACTCTGGCTTCTCGTTTTTTCTTTTTTTTTTTCCTGGCCACCATGAGGTGAACAGTCTTCCTCTGCTACATGCTCCTGCCACCAAGATATACTGTACAGCCACACACCCAAAATAACTGGGAAATAACTATGGAATAAACCTCTAAAATCATGCGCCCATATAAACCTTTCTTCCTTTTAAACTGATTTTCTCAAGTATTTTTTTAACAGTAACAGAAAAGTTAACATGGATGGAAACTAGTCTTTTTCTTTGACAGTGGGCACCATTTTCTTGGGTCTTTGTACTACGTCTAATTTTTTTTTGGGGTGTATGTGGTACTGGGGATTGAACTCAGGACCCTGCGCTTGCCAGGCAAGTGCTTATTTTACTGAGCCATCTCCCCGGCACCCATGTGTAATTTGGGATTGCATTCTGGACACTGTAAATGCTGTCTCATACTGTGAAAATTCTAGATCCTTCCAGGCAATAAATATGGTTAGATAAATGGCAGATTGTGGTACTCTAGCAGACAGCTTCTTAGCCTAAGTTCCTATCTTTAGTTTCCCTTACACTTGTGTGGTTCAAGAGCAATTACCTTTGGAAAACGCTCAAACATTTCTTCTGTTCATTTTTCTTTCTTCTTGCAACCCATAACATATATGTTATAGTACTGAGCATATGATCCACAGTTGTTTAACACCGTATTTTGTAGTTTGTTTCTCTCTATCACTCTCCATTCCTTATACTTTTCTCAGGGAACTAAGGTGAGTAATAAGCTTTTAGTATGAAGTTTTTATATTTACTGGCTAGAACTTGGGCTCTGTTTGGAAATTTTGATAATATAATTACGAGGATCTCAGTTTCCTGCAGAAATGATGTATGCCAGGTATCTGGCATGAATAACATTAATGTCTTTCCCCTAACTTCCTTTGCATTTTTGACTAGGATTCTGGCAGGAGCCAGCAAACCAATGCTTGACTATAATGCTGAGACTACTTGATCATTCTGGTTTAAAAGTATAGTATGGAGGCTTGGGGAGATGGCTCAGTGGAGTAAGTGTTTCCCTGGAAAGCGCAAGGGCTTGAGTTCAATCCCTGGTTATGCAAAAAAAAAAAAAAAAAAGGAAAAGTATAGTATGTCTTATTTGATCACCACATATCTATTTTTGTCATTAAGTACTGAAAAGTCAAATGATAAAATGAAATTCAGTGTTCAGTGAGTCTCTAGTTCCAACCACTAAGGGCACATACTACTCTTGAGCAAATCCTGAAGATTTCTTCTCATCAGCTAAAGACAAACCCTGTTTGTCTTTCACACTCTTGTCAATGACAGATGACCATGGAAATTGGGATGGGGCACAGGACAGAGTACAAGAAGTCATACTTGCAGACCCAGATCCAAAATGCTGAGGCAGGACTGGCTGTACTAGGTATTTGAGGCCACCTTGTGCTACATAACAAGGTCCCATATTATTAAATGAATAAACAAAGACAAACAAACAAACCAAAAAAACCCATAAGCTACAACGAATCAAATGATTTTTAGTGTTTGTCAGGAGATCGTATGTGAGTAAAAGTATCACATTAGAAAACTGTACCCCAGGAAAGACTATGTAATGATTAAATTTTAAAGAAGTTCAAAGTCTTGTTTGAAATCTTCAGGTCTATAGACCTGAAGAATGTGCTATCTAGAAAACAAAAAACATTTCTAACAGGATATAAGCAGTACTTTGTTAATAAGTATATTAACGTTTTGGCCATAAACAACATGGATATTCATTCTAGTAGAATACATAAATCTATCTGAGCTCTGGATAGGCTTTTAGATTTTTAACTTATTCAAGTAAAGATCTATACATCTGTCACAGCATCAGTATCAGATATGTAAGCAAATTTTCCTACCCATGATCCTAGATATACTGGCAGAAGAGGTTCTTTCCTCTGCTGAAGGAAGAAAACGGCCATCAGGGAGAATACATAAGGTGGCAGGCCTCCTTCTTCAGGGCGGTCTATACTGCAGAGCTGCAGGGGACAGGAGAAAGCAGGGACGTTCTTTTACCAGGTTGCAACTGGTAAAATTTGGCTTATAGCCAGTAACTTCATTCTCATACATTATATAATTTATAGTGATTCCTCAGAATAAAGCCCCACAGTAGCAGCTGAGCTACAGTTCATGTGCAAGCCCAGCATAGCAACAATGAAACGGAACAAAATAAACATCTACAAGCAGCACAGTGATAATATGCAACTTCCCTGTACTTCTGCAGCAGCCACATTTTGTATTTTTGAGTAAAAATTTCAATATCAAATATTTAATTCTGTTAATTTACTTGTGAAAAGCTCTAATAGTATTTGCTATTTCATTTTGTGACTTTTGCAGTAAATCCACCCTCTTGCTAAAAACATGGTAGTGAAAGAAAAATGATGACTCAGTTCCAAGTAGATGCCAAACTGGCTTTGCTCAGTTTAATGGTCCTCTTATCTCAGTCCACAGCCCCATGATGTGTGCTCTGGTCACGAAGGTGATTAGGGAGAATATATGGGCAAACTTACCCGTACTAATGGAAACCACTATGAATGCTTGGCTTGCTTACTGAAGAAGCAGAAGGCTTTTAAAGAATTGCATACTGTACTTACTAATTCACCCAGCTGTGGGTGGATCACCCTCTACTCACCCTGGATGCAAGACACAGAACTATCTCTCCTTACTGTTATGCCTTAATCAGTAAAGCTTTTTCTTTCTTCCCTATGAATCTCACTTTTAAAATCATGTGACCTTAAATTTTGGGGAACATTAAATGCACTACTGCTTATTAAAGAATTTGGCATAATTTTAAGAAACATTATAGAAATATCAGACCAGATAAGTTTCTTCTTTTGAGTTTCCTCAGAGTACGTTACTGGAAATGGTATGAGAGTATTTACCTCAAAATTCATTATGCCTAGGAAATTATCTTAGGAAACTAGTTAAAATGAAAGTTCTTTGGCCACATGTCTTGGGACTTCACCCCAATCTGACTTTTAATAAGCACTATAATCATTTTAATATTTTAAGCAATATTGTTAAAGTGAAACAGAACCCTACTGCTTCCTTCTGTATATGTTAAAGTTTCTATTCTAATACTCAAATGTTTATTTTTAATGTGTATACATAAGTATTTAATCATTAAGATTAACCCATAAAATTAAAGCACCATGCTCATGCCTACATGGAATGTTTTCACACATTTAAAGAACTAGAACCAACCTTTGCCCAGTGCCTAAATGCGATCACCAGAGGAACCAGCCTTGGTTCTAGTTTTCCAAGGAGAGATAAGTGTTTTGTTGTCAGACAGGCATTTTCATTTCCTGCACTCACTTTACAAAGGAGACCACTGATGAGGGGAGTGAGAAGAAAGAACAAAGAGTTATTTAAGTATCAAGATCTTTTACACCAATAACTAAACAACACTGACAATAATAAATAATTTTAAAAAACCCCACATTCAATACAGTAGAATTTTAAAAAGACAGGGTAGCTATTTTCTGAGTAAATTATTTTTTTTAGCACTAGAACTTGGTGTTTTCACATATTAAAAATATTTTGGAAGGGTCACGCAAAAAAGGAAAATATGTAAAGGTGATTAGAGCAAGCAACCATTTGATAAAGCTTTTTACCTATCTGACATAGGTCCACACAGTTTCTCATATTTTTTCTACCTAATTTTTTTCTTTGGTTGTACAGGGATTAAACCCAGGGCTCACACATGCTAGGCACGTGCTCTTACCAAAAGCTATATCCCTAGATACTTTTCCTTTTTTAAATTTTATTTTGAGATAAGATCTTGCTAAGCTGTCCATGTGCTCTTGCATTCCTCTTCTCTCAGCCTCTGAAATAGCTGGTAGTATAGGAGTATGCCACTATACCCAGTTAATCATTTTAATTTCTTGAAAAGAAAAGATTTCCTCCTCCTGATCAAATGCCAAAAGTATAGGGAGAAGGCTAGTAGAAAGCATGTGATATAACCAAGAAAGCAGTTATTCTAGAAGCTGAACATTAAGATTTAGTAAAGTATCTGTGCATTTGGTAATTTGATAGTTACAACAGTTTAAAGAAACAGACCTTTGCTTCTCTCTGCATACCACTACTGGAACCCTAGCATGGAAATCAGCATCAACATCAGTGAAGGAGTCTGAGGAAAGAAGAAAAAATATTAAGTAGCTTATTAAAAACTGGTTAAAAGTAGAACTAGATTAATTATAAGTGTGTCTTATCTGTTTAATTGTTTCAAAGACTATTACTAAATAAAATTCTGAAATGACTTAAAAAGAGAAAAACTAATATTTACGATTCAAGTAAACACATTAATTCAAAAATGTTTGTTTTGCAAATCTAATGTTTGATGAGAAATTACATCACTGAACCAAATATTTAAGTATTCTGTGGACAAGATAATGAGACATATAGGTAATAAATTTAAAAGCAAAGTTGATGCAAAACATACTGTGTTACAATATGTATTGACTGAAACAAAAACATTTAAATCTTTTATTGAACCAAAACAAAAAGGACAGAAATGACTAATTCAAGGTATAGGACCCTTTGATGAAGCCCATGTAAAGCAGAAAAACCAATATAGCCCCAATGTGGACGGACATTTTATGGTTCAGTACAACTGATAAACCTCTCTGAGAACAACTGGTGGTGGGTTCATTACCATAGTTGTATACCCCTACTTACTATTTGTGAAGTACTTATTTATATGACCGAACACAACAGGTCATCCTTCAGTCCTAGTCTTAAGAATAAATTTTACATATTTTGCATTCATAGTCACAGTCTAAGTCTTACTTACTCTTTATAAAAAAGTTATTTTTTTGGCTACAAGCTTCACTTTCAGATGGTTATTTCACACAGAACTAACAGGACTCTAGGTAATAATTCACCAGCATTTGTTTTCATTTTTTATTTGGATATTACTCAATTTATGTAATTTCAGTGATAAGACCTATTTCCAGAATCTGCTAATGATATATGCAAATTTACAGACAAAAAAAAGTTAACATCAAAATGTGGGAAGAATTTGGCCTTACCACTGTTTTTCAAACATTCTTGAACAAGTAAGAGGACATCTGGTTGAGACATCTAGGAAATAAATGAATACATGAAATAATCCCTAAACATTCTGCTTCACTGGCATAACATATAGTCTGATGTTTTCTCAATTTCTCTGCAAATTACAAATATGTTAGTATCACAGGAAATTATGCTTGCGTAAGTGTGACTCAAAGACAGAAGAGAAAACATGAGGATCAGTATGAACAAAAGGGGACTATCACTGACTGACTCCTGCTCAACTAGTTTTGCTTGTTTTTTGAGACAGGGTCTCATTTATGCAGTTCAGGCTGGCCTGAACTCATTATGTAGCCCAGGCTGACCTCAAAGTTGTGGAGATCCTCCTGCCCCAGCCTCCCATGTGCTGGGATTACAGGCGTGAGCCATCACACCCAGCTGAACTATGTCTTGGGGGTAATTAGCCTGTTGTATCAAGATGGCCCTCCAAAGCATGTATGTGAGGCAGTTTTGGGAGGGGGTGTGACTAGATTATGGAGACACAGCATGCATTAGTGGGTCAGCCTACTGACAAGGTAAGAGCTAAATGTGATGCTGGGAGGTAGAATCCAGTCAGCAGAGGTGGGCTGGTCAGTGGAGCTAAAGGGTTTCTCTCCACTCTACATCTTGCTGCCACTCTCTCTGCCTCTCTACCACTATGCTGTGAGTGGTTCTCCTTGGCCAAGTCCTGTGCCAAGCCCCATGCCTTCAAGCCAGTTGAGCTATAGACTTAAACTGCCACAAACTGTGAGCCAGAACACACCTCTACTTTCTCAGGTTGAAGGTAGCAGGTATTTTGTCAAAGCCATGAGAAAAATGACTATTATGCAGCCTTCCACCAAGTCTTTGTTTTTTTTTTCTAGAACTTGGGATTGAACCCAGGGCCTTAATGCTAAGGTATACACCCTGCCTGTTACTTTTTTTTTGTTTGTTTGTTTGAGACAGAGTCTACTAGGTTATCTTGGCTGGGCTTGAACTTGTGATCCTCCTGCTTCAGCCTCCCAGAGTATAGAGATGACAGGAATTCACCACAGGCAAATCTTGAAGCAATAGCTGATGGTTTTCATATTGGTCATACTACCACCTCACATCTGGAAGATACTGCAATAGACAGGCCACTGGTTTCAACTGTAGCACTGCCTTCTTCCAATTCCTATTCTACACATTAATGAAAATTACTTACAATCACCAAGTGGACCCTTAAAACACTCAGTGACCTCGGATTACGTTTAGATCAAAGTCAAAGTCTTACCAAACATCTGTGAGACCTGCCAGACGCTCTCCGGCCTTATCTGAAGCTGACTGAGCTTCACCTGGCAAAAGCTCAGTTATACCTGCCTCATTGAAGTGACCTTCAGGAAGGCCGTGTCCCTGTGCAGCTCTTGTCTTCTATCCTGAACCTTGTTTCTCTGTAGCTCTCATAACGTCAAAAAACAGGTAGGCATTTATATCTTTCACTTGACAGGAGTTCTCCAAAGGGGGAACTACATTGTTTTGTTTTGTCCTTTGGAATAATATACAGTATTATATATATGACAAGAGATTTAGTGCATATTGGCTAAGAAATGAATAAATGACACCAAATAAAATTAGTGCTGTGTGTGTGGTGGGCTAGCCCACTGTCATAGAATGTAGGAAGACAGTGGATAACTATGTGGACCTAGTGAGTCTGGCCGATGCCCCCCACCTGTACAGAAGATTCTGAGCTTTGGCTACCCCCCAGACCAGTCAGAGGAATCCTAGAGAGTCTTACCTAGCACCCCTGCCCTCCATTGCAGGGACCTTGTGCACCTGTGCCCTGCACCTCTCCCAAAACTGCTGATTCCAGGTGAACATTGCAAGCTTCAGAAATGTCAAAACGAATAGACCCAGAGCGCAGGCCCAGTGAGTGAGTGAGACAACCTGGGGCCCGCCGGATCCTGAATAGACCCAGAGCCCAGGCCCGGTGAGTGAGTGAGACGACCGGGCCCGCAGGATCCTGAACAGCCCAGGAGCGCAGGCCTTGCGAGTGAGTGAGACGACCCGGGGCCCACAGGATCCTGAAGAGACCCAGAGTGCAGGCTCAGTGAGTGAATGAGACCGCCTGGGGCCTGCGGATTCTCATTCAACCCAGAATGCAGGCCCAGCATGGACCCCTTCAGCAGAACTCCCTGCAAAGAGGCTAGAGGCAAGACCCACCCAGCTGATTCAGGAGCAGAACATCTTGCCAGAGAGACACAAAGGGTTCAACTCCAACGGTTGCAGCAGAAAGAAGTGGAGCACAGCA